GCCTTGCAAGATAACAGTGAGGGCATGCATGGGCATGATTCCACATTAACAAAAGACATTCATGAGGATATTATTCACTGGCTATTGGGGCACTTTGAAAAGGATCTCACTTGCTCCTTTATCAATAAATTCTTCTCCCTCTCACCTCAAACTCTAGCATACACTGCAGATAAATCACAAATGTTCAAAGAGACTTACTTGAGTCAACTGATCTCGATTACTGACCTGATCTCAATATCAAGTGCTAATAATGGACCCAAAGAGGACGAAATCATTAGTCACTGGATATCATTAACTAATATCAGTGTATCTGTTAGAGATTCCATCATGTGTACTGTTAAGAAGAAGGTATCAGGAAAGAACACAGGCAGCAGTATGTGGCATAGACTATTGGATACTATATGCAAAATAGCTGGTTTCCAATGAAGTTTGTGAGTTTTTTTAATGATAACTTTAAAGCAAAATTATAATCAATCATCAAAATGAAATTTCTATTGTACAAAGATTATAGTGACAAAAAATAAATAATTGCTATTCTCTTAATGTTGGATTTTTACTGCATAAAATAAATAATAATAAAGTTTATGATTACACTGAAGCAGCACACAGCACAGCCAATACAATAAGGCACAAAATTACTAGAAAAAAGAAATAAAATTTAACAATCATAATGATACTTTACATCATAAAAAAAACTAGCAAAAATAGGAGAAGCTTTATAATTCTTACCTTGTCTTAGCTTCTTTACTTCGAAATGCCTAATCTCGGCCTCTTGTTCAATTAGAAGTTCTAATAACCTCCTCCGATGAATACTACTCATTGCTACTCCTCCATTCTCTCTCTCCTCTTCCTCCTCCTCCTCCTCCTCCTCTATATCCTCCTCTTGCTCCTGTACAGTTGATAGTCTTCTTATCATCCGTCCAACCATCATAGTATAGGATGGACGCCTTTTTTTAGCATCATTGCCGACTGGCAGACTATTGTCCTTTACTATGCCTACACAAGCAATAAAAATGAGAAGAGAGATAGGGAGAATGAAGACTGGCAATGATGCCAACAATTGATATGATGAGTGCCAACAAACTTTAACAGAGCACGGGACATGGATTTGTATTAAAACCAAACAAAATAAGCCTAAAGTCCATTTGTGTTCACCTGAGCCCTTGTTTTCTTACTATAACTTTTGACTTACAAGTTCTATTGTAAAAATAAACATACCAGTGCATTCCTCTCCTTTTGCCGCATCTATTGTAGTGTTTAAGAAGTAGCTGTAGCTTTTTAGCTTCAAGTTGGTTGTATAACCCATGCAGAAAGTATAGCCATACTTTTCACAATACTATTGCATAGCCATTGTGTTAATTATTGGGTGGGGTCTGTAATCACTTCCTGGGCTCAGGTGAATGCAAATGGACTTTAATAGTGATTCTTTTCAATCGTTATTTTCAAATATATTTCAAATCTGAAGTGTACCATTTTTGCACATCTTAATGGCCCTTGCATGCTTGTACAAAAAAGTTCTTCAGTAGTAGCAAACCAAACTGGCTATATTCTGGACTATCTATTGCTAAAACAGGACATTAATTATATGTCCTTTTATTAGAGACACTGAGACACAACTCTTTAAATGACAACTCACTAAATTAAACATGTCAAAATACACTTGTGGGGCGGCGCACACTGGCTTGCTAACATGACAATCAACCACAAAAAATACGAATACAATAAAAGAATGACACGCACCTAACTCAACACCCAAAGGCAGCCACTTCCTCAATCCGTACCACTGAAAAATCACACCCACCAATACAACGAACATCGAGAACTTGACTCCGCCCACATCCACTCGACTGATTAAAAGAAGACAGAGGTACGTGACGATGGCGACAGGTAGGACAGTGGCCGGAGTGTATTCTGTTAGTCGTGAGTAGAGTTGAGGTAATAGTGACATAATGTGTAGTGATACTAATAGGAGACCAAGGGCAGCTGTTGATGAATTAAAATAG